TTGTGGCCTGTGAAGTTCAGAAGGCGGTGGGGGGTGGGAGAGTGGGGGTGGGGGTGGGGCTTCTCAGTCCCTGTGATGCTGGGGGTCCGCAGGCCACCGGGAGGGAATTGGGGGCCTTCCCGCCCTGCCGCAGATCTCTCTTAGGGGTGCTGACCCTGACCCTTCAAATAAGTGCACAGAAGCAGGACCAAGACCCAGATTTGGTTTTCATGGTGGTTGGTTGGTTTCCTCCCCAGGGGGACCAGCCTGGCTGCCGTTCAGTTGGCAGTGATGGGAGCGCGCGGAGCTGAGGTCCGGAACCTTCTTTCCGCCTGCGTTCGAGCCCCATCTCCAGCCCTAATCTCAGCTCTCTAGAGGAGCCCCTGGGCTGTGCCCCCTTGGCATCGCCAGTTGTGGGTGCCTTCACTTCTAGCCATAGGAAGAATTTGAGCCGTGATGAGAGCAGCCGAGCGGATCATCCCAAAGGCTGGGGGCAGCCTGTGTGTGAGAGCCCCCGGCTCGAACCCTGGCAGCCGGATCAGTGAGGCAGTCTGCACAAGGGGGCTGTGGGCGGCTCTGGGCAGAGTGCAGCCGGCGACTCAGAATGGCTGAAATCACTGGTCCGCTCCCTTCACAGACGTCTCTCGGGCACCAGCGAGGAATCAGGCCATGCTTCCTGGCATCCCGTGAAATTAGGCTGGCCCCTGGTGTGTGCAGAATGTGTTCTGGCAGGCCCGGAGAAGCCAGGAGGGGGAGGGCTCCAACCAGGAGGGCTGACGGGAAGGGCAGGGACAGCCCTGTGAGTGCTCAGACTTGGGCCTCAGCATTTACAGGGGCTGCGGCTGGAAAGGAAACGGGTCAGGGCACTGGCCTTGCCTGCAACCAACCCCTCTTCAAATTCCCGGCTGTCACACACCTCTCCCCTGAGCACCCCCAGGGGCCACTTCTGAGCCACTCAGGGTCAAGAGTAGACCCTGAGCACTGCTGGGTGTGGCCCAACCACTACCAAAAAGCTGGGACTCAAAGTGAGTCCCAATTCTGGCTTTCCTGTGTCTCGCTGTGGGATCTTAACCCAGCGCTGTTCTCTCTCTGAGCCTCCCGGTCTAGCATTCACTGAGATCCTGCGAGTGGCTGTTTCCTGGGACAGGGAGACCCAAACAAGAGGCTTCTGGCACAGTGTCTCGTGGACAGCTCCTGCGAGCCTGGAGTTCTGGACCTATTAAGCAATATTTGCATGGTCCCTTTCTAAGGGTTCCCCATTGCCTCTTATCATGAAGGCAATAACAATAGCCCTGCGGGAATCTTTATTATCTCACCTCCCCATAAGAGGACTTAGGTTGTCAGATTCTGTGGTCTGCCGGCAGCCCATCAGTTTGGAAAGAAATGGACTCAAGCCAGGTTTGGGGGCTGGAGGGATAGCACAGCGGGTAGGGCGTTTGCCTTGCACGTACGTGGCCAACCGGGTTCGATTCCCAGCATCCCACATGGTCCCCTGAGCACCGCCAGAAGTAATTCCTGAGTTCATGAGCCAGGAGTAACCCCTGTGCATCGCTGGGTGTGACCCAAAAAAGAAAGCAAAGAAAAAGTCAGGTTTAGATCAGCAAACAGCACGTGGCCTACACCAGAGGGGAACCAAGTGACCTACGGGTGCCAGGCCAGTACAGGGAGACTGCAGATGAGACGACCCCAGCACAAAGATCTCCCCTGAGACCAGGTGAGACACTGAGACAGAGGAAGCCTGGCCACTCCAGGACAGAGACAAAAGTCACCGCGTACAACTGGAAGATTCCAGAAAGGCCTCATGGACTAGCCAGACGCTTAGCTGAGTCTTGCAGGCTAGTGCGAGTGACCCAGGAGACGGGGTTAGGAGATAGCACAGCAGGAAGAACACTCACTTTGCCCGCAGCTGACCCAGGTTCGATGCCCAGCACCCCAGAGGGTCCCCCGAGCCCACCAGGAGCACAGAGCCAAGAGTAAGCTCTGAGCACCACCAGGAGTGGCTCAGAAGAATCAAAAGTGAAGCAGAAGAGGAAGAGTCTATCCCACCCGCCACCATCGGACCACAGGGGTCCAGCTGTGGCCTGTGTCCACCATGGGAGCATCTATGGCATCTTCGGGCACCCACCTGTCACCCAGTGGACTTTGGGGTAGCCCCACAGACTGCCTGTGGTCTGGCACCCAGAGAATTGACCCCCCTGTGTCAGCAAAAGCCCTGAGGCCAACAAGCCTGCTGCCCGTGCAGGGAAGCTGGGGTCCCGCCCACTAAGCCCTGTGAGCTCCAAGGGCCCTGGGGGGACAGTGGACAGGGTTCCTGGTCTGGGCCTGAGTCTTCTCGTGCTCAAACAGTTCTCTGGGCCGGGAAGGAGGCCCTGCAGGGACAGGCCTGGCCCACAAAAGCTGCGTCCTTACCCGCCAGGCCCTTCCCACGAGTCCCTGTTTCAGGCAGGACCCCGCCCCCACCCCCACTTCCCACTCAGGGGTCCCCATCGCTGCCATTCCCACGGTGTCCCGCAGGACTCGGGCACCCAATGGTTAACGCATTTCCCCCGACCGACAACAAGCCCCACCAAACAGCCAACTATTTTTATCTCCGGATTAATCACAAAAGGCTGGCGCCCACCTTCCCTGTGATTAAAAATTAGGAGCCCAAGCTCCAGAGTGGCTCGGGATAATAACGGCGGATCCTGCGAGCGTTCGGGATGAATAATGCATCTCCTGAGCACGCGGCGTCTCCCGTCTCGCTCCCCTCCGGGCCCCCAGCTCCGGGCCCCAGACTGAATGGAGAGGTGATGAGTGTCCCCCCTTCCGTCCCAGATCCAGCTGCCAGGAGTGACTGCTGATTTCTATTCAGCCTGCTGGGCCCCCCAAACAGCCCCTCCCCTCCCACCCGCCCCCAGCCCCTCCTCCCCAGCTGGCGAGCAACCAGGCGAAGGCTGATCAATAATGCAGAGCCGCCTGAATAGCCGGTATGATAACCGCTCATTTGGGGAGATGTAATCAGGGCCTATTCTGTGGCGTCCGCACCCCCCTCCCCTCCTCTGAGCTCCCCCTAATCCACGCTTTCAAAACACCACCCCGCAGCCCAAGGCAGGGCCTTGGAAGGACCCCCAAGTCTCCCAGCTGTGACCACAGAGTTTCAGAGCCCCCTAGAGCCCCCGAGAGGGTGGGCTCTCGGCCTTGGAATCCTCATGGGGGCGGGGGAGGGGGACACCCGACACTAGGGCTTCCCCTGACACTAGGGCTTCCCCTCCGGAGCAGGGGGGTGGTGCCCTGGGGTGCCACAGCAGTCTGGACACACACACCCCCCAGGTGCCTCTGGTATGCACCCAGTGGTGAGAGCCACTGTGTCAGCCCCAACCAGCACCCAGGCTCGAGAGAATGTTCCAGAAGCCTGTCGTGAAGTGAAGGGGCCTGCACTGGCCCTCTGCCCTCCAGGGCGGGGCCCTTCCCCAACACCACTTTCCCCTCCGCTCCTCACGGGGGACACTGGCCGGGCCTATCCACTGCTCCCCAGTGGTGCTTGGCGGCTCTTGGCCACTTTCCTGGCCTTCTGCAGGCTCGCCAGGGGCCTCGCCCAGACTCCAAGTGGGCTAAGAGCAGCCACCCCCGGGGCGGGAGCAGGAGCCCCTCCAACACCTCCCTGCAGGAAGGGGCGGCCCCTTGCACACACCCACAACGCCCCCCTCAGCAGCAGCACCACCCCCCAAAGCTGTCATCAGCCTCCTGCAAGCTCTCCAGGGGGCTCTAATGACGGGGTGCAGGCTGCCTGGAGGAGGAGCGTCCCCGCCCAGCCCACCCTCTGCAGGTGCCAGCACCTCCCGGGCTCCAAAGCCGGAATGGGCAGGAAGGGCGGAAATGGCTACTGGGGGGAAGGGGGACAGGACTGGGGGCGGGTGGAGCTGGGGATTGTGGGGTGGGCTTCCCTAGGAGATGGAGATGGGGCTGAGCCAGGCGTCCTCCGGGCAGGGCAGAGACGGGCTGGGGTGTCCCGTGAGCCCCTGCTGGGCAGCCCTGCCCCCATGGGAGACCCCCATCTCCCAGTGATTCTTCCAGGAGGGAAGACACCCCCTCCCCATGGGGGACAGCTGAGAACGTGAGGGGTGTCCCCGTGACCTCCTGGAGCACCTGCAGGCCCAAGTCCTGTGCTGGGTGCTATAGGGGACACTCCAGGTGCTGGGGGACCCTCTGGGCGCTGGGGGGACACACCACACCAGGTGCCCCAGGAGATGGCCCTATCAGGAAGGGCACTGAAGGGGCAGCAGGACAGACTCCTGGTGCTGGGTGGGGGTCCCGCAGAGGAAGAGCGGAGGGAACACGGGCCCACCCCACTGGCTGTCCTGTCCTGCAGAGCTCTGGCTGCCAGACTGGGGAGTGGGGTACTCATCCTTGTCCCCCTCAAACAATGGGGTGAGGACTGATCAGACAGCAGAGGTGTTAGGACAAGGACAGACCAAGTCAGACGGCGGAGGTGGCAGGGTGAGGACCGAGTCAGATGGCGGAGGTGCCTGGGTGGTTCAGGGAAGGACTGGGAAAGAGGAGGAGCCAGGGGAGTCTCACGCCGGTGGACTGAGGACTCCAGGCTGAGTCCTGCACCCACGTACCTGTGTGGGATTACTGTGTCTGTCTGTCTGTCGAGGTTTACTGCACCTGTCTGGGATTACTGTGTCTGTGTCAGTCTCTCTGTCTGGGATTACTGTGTCTGTCTGTCTGTCGAGGTTTACTGCACCTGTCTAGGATTACTTTGTCTGTGTCAGTCTGTCTGTCTGGGATTACTGTGTCTGTCTGTCTGTCTGTCTGTCTGTCGAGGTTTACTGCGTCTGTCTGGGATTACTGTGTCTGTGTCAGTCTATCTGTCTGTCTGGGATTACTGTATCTGTCTGTCTGGCGTCCCTGCCCTGGCTACCCTCCTTGTTCTACAAGTCCCCACAGCAGAGAATCGCCGTCCGTCCGCCTCTCCCTGAGGCGCCTGGGCCCTGCAGAGCTGGGGTGCCACAGCCTGACTCCCTCTGCTCTCCCCACAGTGCCGCCCGACGACCCCGTCATCCTGGGGGGGCCCGTGATCAGCCTGCGGGCGGGGGACCCCCTCAACCTCACCTGCCACGCTGACAACGCCAAGCCTGCCGCCTCCATCATCTGGCTGAGGAAGGGGGAAGTCATCAACGGGGCCACCTACTCCAAGGTGAGGCCGGGGGCGGGGTGGGCGTGTGCACGACCTGAGCCTGCACCTCCACACCTCCCGCCCCTGCTGTCCATGCACTCCAGAGGACCCCCACCCCTCCTCCCTCCCTCCTGGGGGTCCCCATCACCATCCCCAGCCACCCACCTCTCTGAGGCCCTGGGGGCCAGCGAAGGGGTGAGGGACTCCGTCTCCCCCTGCACACTGCCACACTGCCTGAGCCTATGCAGGGGGTTGGGAGACCACCCACTCACAGAGGCTCACACACACACACACACACACACACACACACACACACACAGAGTCGCCCCGAGCCCACAGGAGGCAGGACGCCCCAAGACAGGGGCTCAATGGAGGGAGGAGACATAGTCAGCAGACGGAACCCCCCACTCACGTGCCCTACACGGACGAGACCCTGATTCGGTCCCAGCACTGGGTGGCACCAGCAGAATCTCCACCTGGCTGGGACCTTCAAGGACCTGAGGCCCAAAGGTCACTTTCATAGGTGAGATGATAAACACAGAGTCAGGCCTGGAGGAAAAGAAGAGAAAGAAGCAGGGAGAGGAGAGGAGGGGAGGAGAGGGGAGGGGAAGGGAAGGAGGGGAAGGGAGAAAAGGGGCAGGAAGCTGAGTGGGCATGGTGGGGAGGGTGGGGGTCCCCCCTGCACCCCCAGGCTCGGCCCAGCTTCCCGCCCAACAACACTCCACAGCCTTGCTGCAGGCCCCATGGGGACCAGGCTCTGGGGTCCCTGGAAGCCAGGACCCGGGGTGCATTTCCCAGACCTAATGAACACCCCCTCATTTCCCTAATTAGGTGGAACAAATAACTCCAACCAGAAAAGCCCAGTCCCAGCCCAGGGAACGCCATCAATCATCGTTCCTAGGCCCCTGGGTGCGGGCAGCAGGGGTGGGGAGTGTGGGGGGAGCAGGCCGAGGGCCTCATTAGGAGTTCAGGTGCCCCCACAGCCCACCTCCCCTCTGCCTCTGCCCCCCGGAGCTGAGCAATCCAGGAGCCCTGGCAACAGAGGTTCCCGCTGGCAGATGGGAGGGAACCACCCTGCAGCCCGCCCATTCCTCCTCCCTCCTCCCTGCCCCGGGGCCTTATTTTCATCCAGGAAATTGTTCTTATCATCACTTGTCTATTTATAGAGGCAGAGGCAGGAGCCCTGGGGGCTCCAGCGCCAGCAGCCCCCTCTCCTCTGGGTGCTGAGGCTCTGAGACCCACTGGCCAGCAGCCAGTGATCTCCTGGGATGTCCCCCGCCCTCCAAGGGAGGTATCACCCCACACCCCAGGAAGGAGCCCTCAGCCCAGGCAGCAGGGAGGAAGGAGACAGAGGAGGCACCGGCCAGTGCCCGTTCCCAGGTCCTCGGCACCCCTGCCCGACCTCTGTCGGAAGTGGGAACCTTTCTTTTACAGAGGGGGCAGATGCGCAGCCCCAAGCTGGGTCAAGTGGAGAAAGGGTGACGCTCCGGAAACCTGCATGTCACCGACACTAGCACAGTGACCTGGACACTGCTCCAAGCAGAGCCCCCTGGGGATGGGGACGTTCCCTGAGCCCCCTCAGCTCTGTGGGGGACATAGGCGGACTTCGGGGCCACCCTCGCTGGCACAGCTGGACCTCCCAGGCACTGCCAGGGGTTGCTCTGGTGACCCCGAGCATGGAGCCCCGTGGACCCGTGCTCAGAGGTAGATCATCATCCAGAGTAACCCCCAGCGCCATCGCCAGCACAACTGAACACGGCCCTAGGTAGAAAAGAAAATCATAGGCCAACTCTTGTCTCCCCCAAAACATACCCACAGCCACCACGACATCTGAAGGGTTACATGCAGAACCCCCAACACAACCAGGTCCATGGGGGTCCAGCTGAAGGGTGTGGGGCGCAGGAACTGCCCGACTGACAGTTGAAGAGACTCGACCTGCCCGGCCACTTAATCCATCATGCCACACCCACTTTCCAAGGCAAAAAAACTTCTCTTTTTTTTTGGTCACATCCAGCGATGCTCAGGAATTACTCCTGGCCATGCTTGGGGGACCATATGGGATGCTGGGAATCGAACCCAGGTCGACCAAGTGCAAGGCAAATGCACTACCCACTGTGCTATCACTCTGGCCTCACACGCCCACTTTCCAAATAGGTCACCTTCTGCAGGTCTGGTGCACCAGGTATTTGGGGGATGCTTTTAGCCCCCTACAGACTTTGTTGCCCACGAGACCCATGGGGGCTTGTCCCAGCTCCGGGACCCTTATGGTATCACTTATCAGCAAGGTTGATGTCCTGGCTGCCATCCGAGGCTGGATCACAGCTCCCTGGGGTTCAGGAAGCAGCTGGAAAAGTTAAAACGGTTCCTAAAGTCATACAACAGCCAGGGAAATAGTACCGCAGGAGGGCACTTGCCTTGCATGTGGTCAACCTGGGTTCAATTCCTGGCATCTCATCGGGTTCTCCTGAGCACCGCCAGGAGTAATTCCTGAGTGTGCAGAGCCAGGAGCCAAAGCTCAGAAGCTGAGCACTGCAGGGTGTGGTCCCTACACAGACACACAAAAGTCATATAATGACCACCGTGTCCAGCCCTGCCCTTCTTCTGGCCCCAAACTGCATCCCTTGCTGCAAATACACCTCCTGTTAGCCCTGGAAAAGTACCTGGGCTACCTACAGAAAGACACATACACACACAGAGACATACACACACACACACACACACACACATACACATATACAAACACACATACACACACATATACAAACACACACACAAGCACATACATAAACACTGTAGCACTGTAGCACTGTCCTCCCGTTGTTCATCGATTTGCTCGAGTGGGCCCAGTAACGTTTGTATTGTGAGACTTGTTGTTACTGTGTTGGCTTTGCCATGCGGGCGAGATACTCTCGGTAGCTTGCCGGGCTCTCGGAGAGGGGCAGAGGAACCAAACCCAGCTCTGCCAGGCCGGCTTCGCACAAGGCAAATGCCCTGCCGCTGTGCTATAGTGAGTGGTCACAAGGTCAACTCAAAGTCAACCTGCAGCAAACCATAAACATACACAAACACACATATATAAACACACACACACATACACATATACAAACACACACAGACATATCTACAAACACACACACACAAACACACATATACAATCACTCACACACACACACACACACACACACACACACACACACACACACACACTCACACAAGAATAGTCTCCGGGGAGCATTGGGCTGGTTTCCACTGGGCCCAGCTGGGCTCGTTCATGCTTTGGTCTCTGCGGGTTGAGGTTCACAGGGGTCAGGCCCCCTTCTCTGCCCGTTACCTTCTGCAGTTCAGCGCTGAGCTGGCCAGGGAGCAGGGTGGGGGGGGGGAGACCCTCACAGTGTGTGCCGAGGGTCACCTCTGGGTGTCCCAGCCCCCCCACAGGATACCCCCCAGCCCAGGCACCCCAGTGAGTGACGGGTCTCTCCCCGCCCGCCCCCAGACCCTCCTCCGAGACGGCAAACGGGAAAGCATCGTGAGCACCCTCTTCATCTCCCCCGGCGACGTGGAGAACGGCCAGACCATCGTGTGCCGCGCCACCAACAAGGCCATCCCCGGAGGGAAGGAGACCTCGGTCACCATCGACATCCAGCGTGAGTAGCAGCCCCCGCCGGGAGGGCAGGCCTGGACCAGCCCCCTCGGGCCCTGCCCACGGCCAGAGATGAGGCCACTGAGCCAGGGGCAGCCCCGAGCTCTGTGCTTGGGGACCAGCGGGCACAGGTCCTGAGTGGCACATGCAGGAAAGACCTCTCGGGGCAGGGGCTTGGTATACCTCTTCGAGTCAGCTTCCACTCCTAGCAGCGTCCCCTCTGGCACCCCGTGTATGTCCTGGTCACCCCTGACCCTGATGGTCCAGCCTGGGTGCCCCACCCCACCAGTCCCCGGCCCTGGGGAAGAGGCCAGACAGAGATGAGTCCTGCCCTGCACTGGGTCAGCCACCAGAAAGACCCCCACAGGGAAAGCCGGACTGGGGGTGGGCACTGGCTTTCCTGGCCACCACCTCTGTCCCTGGGAGAGGTCAGCATGGAACACCAGGTTGGACAGAGTCTGAGGTCCCCGGGGGCTGTGCTGGGTCATAGTCTGCTTCTGAGACAGTCCAGGGCGAGGTTCAGTCACATCCTGTTCCTAGTTCGAGGAACCTCCTCTTCCTGTCCTGTCATCTCTGTATGCCTCAGTGTTCCCACCTGGGCCTGGAAATTAAGCCAAGCCCCACCCACCCACCCGCCCACCCCCTCGCCAGAGGCTGTGGGGATTAACTCAAGAGGGGCACGGGTCCTGTGGTGCTCATCAACCGTCATCCCTTTGGTTGGACCCAGTGGGCCGGGGCCAACCACCCCCCAGAAGGCCCCAACGCTCTGCGTGTCCCCACGCCGGAAGGTGTCTGCTGAAACCAGCCGAGCAAACACCCACACTCTGTCCTCACAGACCATCTCCGGCCGCCCTGCCGGGTTCGTTGGTTCACACAGGAGGCGTCCGACTGTTGGCGGGGGGTGCCCCGGCCAGGCAGAGCCGCCTCTACAAACCTGCTCATTTCCTCCGTCAACCCAGAAGCATCCAGACTCAGCAGAAGCACATGTGTTGTTTGTTTCCCTTGGTCTTTCTCTGTCACCCAACGGAAGATAAAGCCCCGAGATTGAGTAATGGGAGAGCAGCTTCCCACCCCAAAGTCTCGCTACATCTGGACTCTGCATCCAGCTGCCAAGTTGCCAAACGAAAGTGCGATCAAATCACTGAGTCATGGAGTTTCTGCCTCCTGCCAGCCCGGCTTGGTATAATGCCTCCCCGGACACGCGCGTGCGTGCGTGCGCACACACACACACTCACACACACACACACACACACACACACACACACACACATACATGCAACGCACTTACAGGGGGCGGAAGGAAATGCTCCCAGGCTCTCAGCTGAAACATCTGTTGGGTGGGATCGAAGCTCCAGCCGCCACATCAAAGCTGCCTCCCGCACCTCGCGCCGCCGACATCACAAGTGGGATTAGAATCATGTTTAATCGCTGGTGATGACATAAACTGTTTATACCTCTGGAGCCCGAAGACGCCTGCAGATTCCTGCCCCGTGCGCGCGGCGCGGGAGGGTGGGAAGCCGGGAGATGCAGGCAGCTCCAGACCGAGAGCCGGAGAGGGGGTGTTGCAGATGGAGGTGGCAAGCCTGGAAGCTTCTAGGACTCGTTCTCCTGAGTCTCGAGGAAAAAAAACTGGGCACCCGGGAAATCGCAAAGAGATAAACCTGCTCTGGGTGAGGGCCCTTCCCACCAACCACGCCCAGAATCAGCTGGAAATGGCAAGTCAAGCATGGGGCAGGGGGCAGGGAGCAAGGGGTGTGCCCCAAGAGATGGACGCCCCATCTCCCTGCTCCTGAGTCCCATCACCCAGGTCGGAGGCCCTCCTGGCACTTCCCACTCCCCTAAATTCTGGGTTCTGTTGAACCGACACCGCCAAGCTGGGTCGAGGCTCCAGCCACCTTCCGAACCAGACGTGCTCTCAGTCGTGAGCATCCGAGCCAGCCGGCTGCATCTGGACACCTAGTCCCAGCTTCCGGACTCCGGGACAAGCTCCTCCCTCCAACCTGCAGGGACACTAGTCCCCTGACTCACCACGGCTTGGGGTACTGCCTCTGGAGTCTGCAGGTCCAGCTCCAGGCCAGCCCCACCGAGAAAGAGGCCCGGAACCCCCAATTTGACCAAGCCCGGAAGCCTGCGGCCTCATTGGTGGGCAGTCTCGAGGGAAAGGCTGTAGATTCCGGAGTCTCAGTCCTCCGGGGAGGTGTGGGGAGTTTTGGGGGCTGCCCTGTCACTATGAGGTCCCTGCCCTTCTCTTGCCCCCAAACCCTGGCCCCAGCCCCACCGATCTGAAGGAGCCGCTTCTCTCTGCAGACCCCCCGCTTGTGAACTTGTCGGTGGAGCCGCAGCCGGTACTGGAGGACAATGTGGTCACGTTTCACTGCTCGGCCAAGGCCAACCCAGCTGTCACCCAGTACAGGTGAGAGCCTGGTGGCCACAGCCGGCACCTCCCTAGACATGGGGGCACCTGTCCTGCCCCGTAGACATGGTGACACCCAGCAGATACGGGGGCATCTGTCCCGCAGGGCTGGCACCCAGCACAGGGTCTGGTTTGCTGCCCCTCTGACCCCCTGCCGACCAGGGGCCGTCTCCTCCCTTCCTGCACGTACATGCCCACCTCCTGTAGAGCAGACAGCAGCTTGGGCCCTCCCCTCCCTGATGCCCAGAGAGACGCCCGCCCGTTTCCAGCAGAGTGAGTGTCGCCTTTGCAGGGTCCAAGAATCCAGCCCCATGTGCCCCTGTCCAGGCCAGCCCAAGCCCAGAGTGGGCTGTCACCGCCTCTGACCCCGTAACTGCACTCCCGGACCCTCTCTCGACTTTGGTTCTTCTTAAAATAGTGCCCAGAGCTCAGGAAACCCACTCACTCAGTAGGTCTTATACAGAGAGAGAGAGAGAGAGAGAGAGAGAGAGAGAGAGAGAGAGAGAGAGAGAGAACTCGCAAGCTAAGGCAGAGATCTAGAATCTAGAATACTATTGAAAGTAAGATTGCTCACAGGTCCGAAGAGGTTGAGAATCTTGCCTCACACGCAGGTTGATCGCCAGCACCACACATGATTCCATGAACACGACCAGGGTGTCCCTCCTGAGCACGGAGCCAGGAATAGCCCCTAAGCACCTCGGGCATGGCCCTAAGCTCCCCCCACAAAGTCCATAAACACACATATCTCTGCTCCCTCCTGTGGATGGGCTGGGATTCAACGATTTCCTGCCCAGTCCAGCATGCACCCACCCAGCCCACTGCATCTGCTCACACATGGGTAGAAGCGTCTCTTGGCCTGAGCTTCTCAGGGGGAGGAGCGCATGTGGTTCAGACACAGTGCCACTGGTAGTGGGTACCCTGCGTAATGCAGGGGGGCCTCTGGGCCCCTTCCCGCTGGCACCACTTCACCTCCCACTGTTCTAAGCATCGAGGCCCCAGCCAGGCTCCAGATACCCCCTCCCCAGCATCCTAGAGATGCCTTGGGACCCCCACTCTGCCAGAGCGTCCCCTCCCGCAAACAAGACTGGAAGGTGGGACCCAGCGTGTCCCCTCTGCCATCGAGTTGGGTTATTAAATCCCAATATCAGCCAGTAGCAGGGACAGCAGTGGTCCCAGAGCAGCTGGAGAGAGCAGAGGACAGGGATGGAGTTCAGGCCTGGGGCGGAGGAGAGGGTGTGGACCAGGGATCAGTCTGGACAGGAGGAGATGCTCCCTGCAGGCAGGTCATTAAACAGCACAGGAAGCAGAGCCTTCATCGCTGAGGGCACTCAGAAGAGGCCCATGTCACTCGTCACTGGTCAGTGGTCGCTGACCTGCAGACAGACCCCAGGCCTCTTGTGTTCGGAGCTCAGGGGCAGGTGTGGTTTGGTGGGGGATCTAGCAAGTGTCTAAGGTGGATGAGGGGACTTGGAGCGATAGCACAGCGGGTAGGGCATTTGCCTTGCACGCGGCCAACCCAGGTTCGATTCCCAGTCTTCCACACACACACATCCGAGCACCGCCACGAGTAATTCCTGAGTGCAGAGCCAGGAGTAACCCCTGTGCATCACTGGGGGTAACCCAAAAAGATAAATAAATAAATAAATAAGTAAATAAATAAATAAGGTGGGTGAAAGCGTGGGAGGGTCCGGGCGGGGAGGAGGTTCAGATGGGGGGACTCACACTTGGAGAATGACTCCCGCAAGGCCCTGAGTTTGATCCCACCTCGTTCCCGTAGCAGCCCCTCAGCATCACGGCTGCTCCCTGAGCACCACCAGGCCAGCACCCCTGGACCTAGCATTGCTGGGAGTATCCTGGGGCCTCACCAGCCCCACTGAGGGAACTCCTGTAGAAAAAGAGACCCCGCCGGAATTCCCAGAGAGGTTCCCTGCGTGAGCGCCTGTCCAACACCGCGCCCTTTGCTCCTCTCTGGCCATGAGCTCCTGCCTTCCCACTCTCCAGCCCAGAGAGACCCGGAGCCGCCGTCCGTTCCCGCAGACAGCCCTGAGCACCCGCAAACCCCTGGCAGACACCCCCCACACCCCTCATGGTAGAACCTGCAGTGCTGATGGACCCCACACGTCAGAGCCTGCAGCTCCACACTCCAGCTTGCTCTTGGTAGGGGACTCGCCCAGCAGTGCTCAGGGGCTACTCTCCAGCCATTTCCTGGGGAAGCCTGGGTTGGCCCGTGGGGCTCCAGCATGCGAAGCCTGCGCCCTGTCTCCCCACCCCCAACTCCCTCTCTCTGGGCTACCAGGCTCCCCCTCAGCAAAGGACACAGTGAAGGGTGACCTACAGGTAGGGCTGTGCTCTGGGACCCCCAAACTTCCCTACCCCACTCCCACCCCTGCCCCCACCAGTGACCAAGGCGAGCAGATGCCCCAGAAACCAGCCACAGGCTGTGTGCCCCCCGCAGAGCAGAGCCGGGGGTGGTGGCACCAGCATAGGGCACATGGGCACATCCTGGAGCAGATGGTGCCACACGGACCCCAACTGGCTCGTCTGCCACTCTCCTGCAACCCACACCCCCCTCCATCCCCTACGTCCTAAGCAACTTCTTTTCCAGTAAACCAGCAAAGCCCAATAGCACAGTTCGGGGGTGGGGGGTCGCCCCATCCCCCAGACTCACATTCACCCTTGTGGAGATTCCCCCGGGTCCTGCCCATCCCTCAGACTCACACCACTCCCTTGGAGGCATCCAAAGACAGGGAGGGGCTGGGAACAGCCCCCCCCCCCCGCCCCCGCCGCGAGAGTGTGGGGGTCCACACAGGGAGGTGAAGCCCCTCCTGCCCAGGTCTGCTCCTCAGACCTTCACAGGGCCCGGTCTGCCCTGCCCACTCCACCCAGCCAGCCGCCCCCTGCCTGGCTAGCATCCAGCAGGCTGGACCCTACGCCCATTTCTCCCACCTCCGGCAGGGGCATTGCCCAACGTGGAGTCTGGTATGAGATTAAAGTTGTAAACGGAACCGATTCATGAAACAGTGAGTGGTTTCCTGGGAAGACGCTGGGTCCTCGGGAGCGTGGCCAGCTCTGGTGTTCTTCTGATTGTTCTTGTTAATGGCGCTTGGATGGTGACCCGTATCCGTCCACGCTAACAACCCTGTGGTACGGAGCGATGTGGGGTGGGGGCAGAGGAGAGAGGAACCGAGTCCCCCAGCCCGTGACGGGGACCCTGGGTCACACTTCTCCTCCCTGGGGCCAGCGGCCACTGAGCCCCATCTCGACTCTCGGCCGCTTTATTTCCAGTGGGGTCCAGAGGGGCCCCTGGCAGAGCTCAGGGAAGCCTCCTTATCACTGACCCTTCGTCACCCCACCTCCGTCCCTAATGACCTAGTAACCCAAGGCCTGCTGACCGCTCCCTGGCCATGGCCCCCAGGGATCCCACGGCACTGGGGTGCCGTCCTCCTCTTCCTATGGGGGGGTGGAATGCGTGCAGCCCCCAGAGGTTCCCCGACCAGGCCAGGTTTTGGGGGCAGGATGTGGTTCCCGGGCCACTCAGGGCCACCCACCCACCCACCCTTTCGCCCCTTGCAGGTGGGCTAAGCGAGGCCAGCTCATCAAGGAGGCGTCCGGAGAAGTCTACCGGACCACCGTGGACTACACGTACTTCTCCGAGCCGGTATCCTGCGAGGTGACCAACGCCCTGGGCAGCACCAATATCAGCCGCACGGTGGACGTCTACTGTGAGTGGGCAGCGGGCGGCGGGCGGGCTCAGCAGCGCCCCCAGAGGAGGCGGCGCGCGTTACAGGCCTCGCAGGCTCCGCCCCTCGCCCCGCGGGTCCACCTCCGTCCCCGCCCCAAGAAAGCGCGGATGAGGCCAGAGCATCATCGAGGCAGCTGCCCCCTGCCCTGCCCCCTGCAGCCCCCACAGACACTGTCCCCGGTCCCCTTTTCACATGGAGGGCGTCATCGGCCCGCAGATGGGTCCAGGTAGCCCTGAGCATGCTGTGATCCCCGGTTACCCCAACCAAGCTGGACAGCCCTGGGAGCCCCCCACATCTCACCCCCACACCAGGCCAGCCACCACACGGACTGGACCCTGCAGCTTAAAGACAGGGCTCAGCGGATAGGGCCACCTTCCCCACGGCCCCCCTGGATCCCATCCCCGACCCCCATTCCCCGACCCCAAGCCCTGCCAGGAGTGATCCCTGAGTGCAGAGCCAGGAGTGAGCTCTGAGCATCGCCAGGTGTGGCTCCCAATTTTTTTTAATAAAATAATAAAAGCAGAGCAGGGGGGGTGAGGGGGCGGAGCTCAGGGCTGAGTCACAGGCCTGGCCAGTGACCCCGCGACCCCAGCACAGGGGTGTGACCCAGATCCCCCAGCACTGTTGGAGCCCCCCAAAAGGGCTCCTGCCCCCATGTGGTGCCCCTGAAGGCGGCTGTGTCTCCCCGACTTCCCGCCCCTGGGACGCCCCCTCTGCTCCCACTCGGAGACCCTGCGCAGGCCGAGTGCAGGACCGGGCGGTGGGGGAGGCACCAAGTGGGGACACCAGGTCAGGGGGTTGAGCCTGGGGAGGGTCGGGGGGCGAGGGCTGAGAAGGGGCAGGAGGGCGGCTGGTCCTGGCAGCCCAGGTCCTGGCCGGGGGCACTTCTCTAGTGGCAGGTCACGGGGCTCGTGGAGGCTGAGTCAGCAGCACAGACCCCCGTACTAGGTCCAGGCCTAGCCTGGCCAGGGCCCGAAGTGCAGGACTGGGTGAAGTGGACACACACCCACGTACCCCACAGAACCCCACACACCCGCATACTCCACACACCCACACACCCCACAGTACCCCCCATACTCACATACCCCATACACACCCAAACCCACATACCTCACACACCCACACATACACACAGTCACATACCCCACACACAGACCCCCATACCCACATACCCCACACACGCTCACACACCCTCATACTCCACACACCCACACCCCACAGTATCCCCATACTCACATACCCCCTACACACCCATACCCACATACCCCACACGCCCACACATCCACACACCCACATATCCCACACACCCTCACACACTCACACTCCACACACCCACACACCCAACAGTATCCGCCATACTCACATACCCCATACACACACACATACGCCTATATCCACAACCCCACACACCCTCACAACCCTCACACCCCACAGTATCCCCATGCTCACAAACCCACCCCCACACACCCATACCCACATACCCCACACACCCACACATCCACACACCCACATACCCACATACCCACACACATATCCCCATATCCACACACCCCACATACCCTCACACTCCACACACCCACACACCCCACAGTACACCCCCCCACACACATACACATATACACATCCCCACACCCCCACACCCCCCACATGTACCCATAGACCCCACAGCCCCTTTTCCCCACACATACCCTACACCCACCTCCACCAGAGGAGCCAGGACAGGGAGGTGCCTCCAAGCGGCTTAGGGTCTCAGACCCACCGAGCACTCTCTGCCCACCGCAGTCGGGCCCAGGATGGCCGCGGAGCCCCAGTCCCTGCTGGTGGACCTCAGCTCGGACGCCGTCTTCAGCTGCGCCTGGATCGGAAACCCGTCCCTGACCATCGTCTGGATGAAGCGGGGCTCTGGCGTGGTGAGTCCCTGCTCAGGGCCGGGCAAGGGTGGACGTGGCCTCGCGGGACCCCCTCGCACCCAGATGGGGGCACCAACATCCAGCGTGAGCTGAAGGCAATGGGGAGCCCCCGGGAGCCGTGCATCCCCCGCCGGGCCGAGCGGCACCGCGGTTCTGAACCGAGTCTGAGCCACAGAAGGTCGGAAAGTGCCCAGTCGCAGTCTTCCCGAGCGATCGCCCTGCCCGGGGCTGAGCCTCGCTGGTTTCCCCTTCCGGTCCTCTTGGTTTCCCATGGTGCTGGTGCCAGGGGCCGAATCCCGTCTCCTGCATGCCGCGAAGCTGCGTTACCTCTGAGCCACCCCGGGCCCGTCTTCCTCTCCTAAAGTGGTCCTGAGGAGCCAGAGAGGTGGTGCTGGTCCGATCCCCCATACTCCATCGCGTCCCCGAGCCCTGCCAGGAGTCAGCCCTGAGCACACCAGGGGTGACCCCAAAATAAGGTTTTTTTTTCATACTCAAGTGCAGCTGGGGAGGGCAGGGTGGCACCCCCAGCCCGCGTGGCCCCTGAGCACCTCCCGGTGGAATCCTGGGGCCCCCAAGCACTGTCAGCACTGCCAGGAGGGGCCGGGCAGTGGGGAGGCCCTCTAGGAGATAGACCACTGCAGAGATGCGTGTGGTGCAGGGAAGACGGGCCAGGGGCAGAGCAGGGCGAGGGCTGGACTTCGAGCCCCAGCCCTGTCTGGCCCCTCGAGCGTTGCTGGGGTGGTCCCCAATAGCCAGCACCAGCAGGGTCCAGGAGGCAGAAAGCCAGCATGCGCCTGACCCAAGTCAATTCCCGGCATCCCAGGGTCGCCCGCACATCAGCAGCTGCAGCTCTGGACGCCTTACTCATCCTGGGCATCCCGGGCACCACCAGGCCTGACCTTGGGTCCTGGCAATGGACAGACAGATGCCCAGTTGGCTGAGAATCACTGTGGGCCCCCCCCCCACACCTCCGCAGATTGCTGGGGACTCCTTCCCACCCCCCGTTGCCACCACAGTATAGCAGGGGCTGGAGAGATAGTTCAGTGGGTAGGGCGCTTGCCTGGCACGCGGCTCATCTGGATTTGATCCGGGCACCCCATATGGTCCCCCCGAGCCCGCCAGGAGTGATTCCTGGGTGCAGAGCCAGGGGTGAGCTCTGGGCATGACCCAAAAACTAACAAAACCAAAGTAGCACTAACTCCCCCGACCCCTCGTGTCTTGTGGACCCTGGGGTCTGTGCTCCGGGGAGGGAGGAAGCCAGAGGGGGCCGGGCAGGGCTGGAGCGGGAAGGGCGGCAGGACGCCTGGTGCCAGGCTCAGAGCTGACCAGTGTGTGGTCGGGAAAGGGCCTCTGAGACGCTCTGCCAAAGCCACACGGGGCATGAGGCCAGGACATAGGGCCAGCCCAGGCCAGCCTGCCGCAACCCCCAGTGTCCAGAGGGAGGCTGAGGAAGGTTCCGAAAACACAGAACCAGGCCTCCCCCAGAACCTCCGCTCCCACTGGGCCAGCCAACTGACCAGCCACTGTCCCCGTCAGAAGGGACAGGAGCCTCTTCCCGCCACCCACCCCGAGGGCCGAGACTGGACACTGCACACACACCCTGTTGCCAGCTGCCCCAGCCCCCCCCCCCATGCCAGCTCTCACCCCGCCCTTTCTCCCAGGTCCTGAGCAACGAGAAGACACTGACCCTCAAAACTGTCCGCCAGGAGGACGCCGGCAAGTACGTGTGCCGAGCTGTGGTGCCCCGGGTGGGCGCCGGGGAGCGAGAGGTGACCCTGACTGTGAATGGTAAGACCCTCCTCAGGGGGGCCGGGTGGGACAAGCTAAGGGGCCCACAGAGGAGGTGGTCTGCCCTGCCCTCCTCCACCCAGAGGTCAGCTCGGTGTGAGGAAGGGCCTCGACTCCCTCCCTCTGAGAGGGAGGCCCTGGGCTTCCGGCCGGCCAGGCACAGGAGTCAGAGCTGCGCATGGCCCCGTCTGCCCTCGGGCCCGCCCTGACCTTGACCTCGGTGGGGAGTGTCGCCTCGGCCTATTCCTGTGACCTAGGTGGCACCAGCCGGGTGGCACCATTTCCAGGGACGGGGGCACCCTTGGGGAGCAGAGCAGCCCCAGGGCAGGGCTGCCGGAGCAGGGGTGCAGGGGAGAAGCCGGATGCCAGCCCAGGGCCTGCCCGAGAAGGTGGGCCCCATTCCAATGGCTGCTGGCCCAGGTGGCAGCTGACAGCAGGTTTGGGGGTCGGCAGGTTTGAGGGGTGCAGAGCCACGGGCTAAGCTCCACCTGCCTCCACACCTCCTCTTCTCAATATCTTTCATGGCCCTGAGCTGGTCCCCGACAGGCCCCCTTGGGTGGGGGCGGGGGTCCTCAGGGTGGCCACTGAGCCAAGCTCTGGACCTTGGCCTGCTCCCCAGATCCAAATTTCAGATCCAACTGGGGCTTGTTCCGTCTGCATCCAGCCCCGCGGGGGAGGAGCCCTGGGCGCACGCAGGACACCTGCCCTGGGCCTGGCGCTGACCCGGAGCCTGCCCAGACTCCCCCAGCCCCCAGGACACCACCAATAAATTGGCACTTCAGGGCTAAAAATAACTTCCCCCCTCCCCTTGGCGCCTCCGTGTATCCATGGCAACGGGCTGCAGCCTTTTCCTGCCGTGTCTGACACTCACTCACGCCTCGCTCCCGGTGCACCCCACTCCCGGCTCCCTGAGAGAGGGCGGGCAGGGTGGGGGGCGCCCCAGATCCACACGGGTCCACAGGAAGCCCCCCAGACCTGACACTTCCAAAGGGACATCCTGGGTGTGGGGAGAAGGAGACGTTGCCCTCCCCACTACGGACACCGGTGTTTCCCGGGGGGCATGGACAGAGGGTCCGAGATCAGGGGGTGCTGCCCGGTCTCTGCCTACACAGGCTCCCTCCTTCCTCCCCTGCCACCCATCCTTCCGGCACAAGCTCCCCCAATGCCCAGGAGGGGCGGGAGAGGGACCTTGGGTCCTGGCAAAGTCCTGGCAGTCCCCCTTGCCCTCAAGGCCTCGAGACTCAGGAAAGAGACCCTGACTCGACTGGAGGCCCAAAATTAGGTGAGGGTCTGGGCATGGACGTTCCCTTAGTGGGGGGTCCTGCTGGGCCCCCGGCCGCCCCGCTCAGCTGCTGTGGCTCCAAGCCGGGACCTGGGCACAGGGGAGAGAAAGGCCATGCCTGCTGGAGTGGCCTCTAGTCGCCGGCCTGCACCCGCTTCCACTTCCTCCCCGGAAGCCCTGGAGACCACCTGAGCATCAACCCCACCCCAACCGGGAACTCCCAACTGCGGAAGTGGACAGGAAAGGTCTGGGGGCCCCATGGCTCCCCACACAGCAGCAAAACCAAGTGCTCCCAGGTCCTGGCTGGGGACCATGGCCACCCGCTTCCGAATCTCAGAGCTGAGAGAGGACCTCTGGGCCCGCACTCTCAATGCCTCTGCGGAGACCCCCACATCCGCCTCGCCCCCCTCCCAGCCACAGCCGCCCTAACTCGGGTCTGTGTCACCGAGTGGCGGCCAGCGCTTCCCTGCCCCTTGGCAGGGAGCTGCGGTCCGAGAGGCGGGTCTGCGAGAACCCAGGAGACTTGCTCGTCTGCAGCGAGTTTGGTTCTGTTCCCGGGTGCATTTGCGCCTCCTCCCCACCCTGCCTCCCCCGCCTTCCTGTCATCTCCGTCCTAAGCCCCGTCCTGTACCCGAGCCAGCAGGAAGGGGCGTGTTCCAGCCCCACACCCCCAGGCCCAGGCCCCAGGAAGCAGGAAGCAGGAAGGGACAACTCCCCTCCCTCTCTCCCCCTCTCTTCCTCTCTCTCTGTCTCTCTGCCTCTCTCTCACATACACACACGTACACATACACACAGTCACACACACTCACACATTCACACACATACGCTCACACACACACTCACACACATTCACACACATTGACACACACTCACACACACATTGACACACATTCACACACACACATTGACACACACATACGCTCACACACACACTCACACACATTCACACACACATTGACACACAGACACATACACACTCAGACACACATATACTCACACACATACGCACATACATTCGTGCACACACATAAACACTCACACATACACTTATACACACATACAGTCACACATTCACACACACATATACTTACACACATATACTCACACACATACACTCACACACATACTCACACACACTCACACACACATACACACACATACACACACATACACTCACACACATACTCACACACACACTCACACACACATACTCACACACACATACACACACATACTCACACACATACACTCACACACATACTCACACACACTCACACACATACTCACACACACATACACACACACATATACTCACACATGCTCACACACATACACTCACATACTCACACACACATACACTCACATTCACACACATATACTCACACACACATATACACAAACATATACTCATACACACATGTACACTCATGCACACATACACTCACACACACACTCACACACACATACATCACGCACACTTATACACACGCACACCCTCTCCCTGCCAGGCGGGCCTGGACCGAGAGGGGCTCCGCTTGTCCCCCAGGCTTAGCTGGACCCTGGGTGTCTGCTGGGGCTAGGCGGCCTGTGCTTCTGGAGGCATTATGCCTCCACGTTATGTCACAAAGACGTGTGCACGGGGACGTCACGTCCACACACACACACACACACACACACACACACACCAGCACGGGGCTCCCTCAGACGGGCTCTGTGGGGGACGTCGGGATCAGCTCCAGGTCCCAGGCTCCCTGGTCGCCTGTCTGTGCCTGTGGAGGCCTCCGGAGAGCAGGGGGGCCCCGGAGCTGGCTGTCCACTTCGGGTGCCCGCTCACGTCCCTGATTTGTGAGACAAGCGCGCCCTCTAGTGGAGAACGGGGGCGCAGCTTGGAACGGGAGGACGAGTTTGGGCCAGGGACTCTCCCCCCTTCCTCCAGCCCTCCCATAAAGCCCTCCCATGGGCCACCCTCCGTTTATCTGCACCCTCTCTGCCTTTTATTCGCGAAGGCATTTCTTCCCAGAATTCTGGTTTAAGAGCAGGAGCTGGAGACCCCCCGAGTGCCTGCCTGCCCATGACACAGCTGAGACACACCTGTCTGCGTGAGTGAGCGGATGGATGAATGCGCAGTGAGCACCCACCACTGGGGTGCCTGACTCGAGGCTGTCTCCCCCGCAGGGCCCCCCATCATCTCCAGCACCCAGACCCAGCACGCGCTCCACGGAGAGAAGGGTCAGATCAAGTGTTTTATCCGGAGCACACCGCCCCCCGACCGAATCGTGAGTGCCCGGTGGGGAGGGAGGGTGCAGGGTCTAAGGTGCCCAGGAGCCCAGCCAAGTCCTCCCGGCTCCTGCAGGGCGGCGGGGGCACCATCTGGGTGCCGAACCCTGAAAGTGATTCTCACCTCCTCCGGCACCGGACAGAACTCTTTGACCAGAGAGCCTGGGGGGATGGGAAAGGGAGCAGATGGGAAAGCACGAGGCTAGTCGTGCCCTGCCGCTGGTGAACCCTGGCCGTCCTGCCACTGTCCTCTCTCAGCCTCCACTGTCCTCTCGGTTCTGGCCCCTGGGGGTGCTGCCCCTGTCCCTGCCTTCCGGGCTCCAGTGAGGCCACCTGCCCTTTGCATCTGGAGAGCCAGGCTCCTCCACCACATCGCTCCAGAAGAGGAAGACGTGCACAGGTGTTCAGCACCGCGGGGGAGCCGGGGTTCTTTGCAGGGAGCCCCAGCTCCCCGGGGTGGTCCCACTGGAAGACAGCCCTGGGACAGTGCTACAGGGGGCTCGGCAGAGTGCAAGACATGAGGTCTGTCTTGCTAAACCTCTGAGCCGGGGCATGCTGGGAACTGGGATTTTCATTCCATTATTACTGGAATATCTGAGCGTCCCTGCACCGTCCATCCGAAAAACTGCAAGAATCACACCCAGAGCCAGGACTGGCACCTCTCTCTGAGGTTCCGAGTGTGCCCAGGCCTGTTTAAAATCTTCCCCCTCAGGGCTGGAGCAATAGCACAGCGGGTAGGTTGTTTGCCTTGCACACAGCCAACCCGGATTCGATTCCCAGCATCCCATATGGTCCCCTGAGCACCACCAGGAGTGATTACTGAGTGCAGAGCCAGGAGTAACTCCTGTGCATCGCCGGGTGTGACCCAAAAAGAAAAAGAAAAAAAATTATATAAATAAAAATAATATCTTCCCCTCACTCAGGGTCGCTTACGCTGGGCCAGCAGGTTTCACGGGCAGTTTTGCTTCTGGGTTTTGTGGTAGAGACTTCAGGGTGGTCGAACCTGGAAAGGGGGCAGGGACGGGGCAGGAAGACAGCACCCACCTGCAGGAATGACCCACGCCCACCTGCAGGGATGACCCAGGGGGCTCCCAGCCACAGTGCTCATAGCATGGGAGTTGGGGGTGAGAAATAGCTCAGCAGAAACCCAGGCCCCAGATACCTGTGCCTTGGAAACTTTACAACATTGAAAGCATGTCAAACTGTTAGTATTTACTGACTAGGATCCAACTCTCAGAACGTGCTTTCGTACAAATGACAAAGTAACAGGACTGTGCTGGCCAGGGCTGGCCTTGCTCCACCAGCCACTCACCCTCTGCCCACGAGGAGATCAGGGGCAGCCCAGGTCCCACATCCTGCAGATCTTGTCCAGGAAGCCCCCACGAGGACCACCCCCCAGGCATGTGTGAGAGTGGGGGGGGTTCCGAAGTATCCATGGAGCATGGGGGTTTGGGGATGACTGTGTGTAAGTGTGTACACCGTGGGGTGTATGTTGTGACGTGTTCCCGTGTACATGCTTGGATTTGTCATGTGAGCCTGCACCTTGCGTATGCTGTGTGGGCTGGAGCCTGTGTACACGCCCGTGGGGTGTGCTGGGCTGAGCACGTGTTCCCATGTGTACAGGTGTGTGCATCCACCTGTCTGTGCTGGGTGCTGGCTCCCGTTTGGGGAGTGTGTGATGAAGTTGTAGAGACCTGGAGACGTGTGGTTGTGAGTGAACCTGTGTTCGCTCTGTGTGTGTTAGACACACGTGGCTGTATGTGTCCCTGCATCTATTAAGTGTGGTGTGTTTGTGTTGTGTGTTTCGTGTGCCCATGTGTGGGCATAGACCTGTGTTCACACCCGGTCTAGTGAGGCGTGTGTTTGTGTGTGTGTGTGTGTGTGTGTGTGTGTGTGTAAGTGCTGGAGGTGTCTGTACACGCTGTGGGCACGTATGCTGTACAAGTCCTGGTGCCAGGCGGTCATGAACATGACTGTAAGTCCCGGCACCAACCAGGGACAGACCCCCCCACCTGACTCCGTGTACGCCCTGACTCCGTGCCCCCCCGCAGGCCTGGTCCTGGAAGGAGAATGTGCTGGAGTCGGGGACCTCGGGGCGCTACACGGTGGAGACGGTGGGCACGGAGGAGGGCGTCATGTCCACGCTGACCATCAGCAACATCGTGCGCGCCGACTTCCAGACCATCTACAACTGCACCGCCTGGAACAGCTTCGGCTCCGACACGGAGATCATCCGGCTCAAGGAGCAAGGTGGGCCCCCCCCCGGGGGGCTGGGGGGCGGCAGAGCCGTGGACAGACCGCCACAGAAGCTGCTGGAGGGAGCCCGCAGACCCACATGGCAGAGACAGTGACCCCAAGTGACCCGGAGCCGAGCCGAGCTGTCACCTGATTTAAGGCAGCTTCCACATTGTGCATTTCCTCTCTGGCTGCGGCTTTGGGGCCGAGTGGGTGCCAGTGGGTGCACACACAGGGAGACCAGCCAGTCCCCCGCTCAGCTGCGAGACGCCCAGGAGGTGCTGCAGCAAGGCTCAGAACAGCGGGGGGTCGGGGGAGGCCAGGGGCAGGGGGTCACCTCACCAAAAGCCAGATGCAGATGCAGACAGCCTGGGAGGGGCTTGAGGGGTTCTGGAGAAGCCCCAAGCCCTGGCGAGAGACCCTGAGCCCATGGACCACCCCCGGCCTCAGTGTACCCCGAGAATCTCCGGGCCTCCCACCTGAATTCCTGACTGGAGCTGCTTTGCATAACACTTTGCATATGATTTGCATAATCGCCTCCTCGCCTCATCCCAGACCCTCCCTGCCCCATTCTTCCCCTCCCTGTCTTCCCCCTACCCCGTGCCCTGCCCCCTGCCCTGTCCCCCTCCCCGCGCCCAGACTGGACTCTTCTTTCTCTGGTCCCCCCTCCCCCCACTTGGCGTGGCTAAGTGCCAGCTTGGGTCCCCAAGTACAGCCTGGAGACAGGCTGGGGAAGGGAGCCGCGGCCCCCCGGAGGCCGACCCAGTCCCAGCCCAGCAGCCCGGCGTGGCCTGGACGCTTGCCTTATTTCCAAACAGGTTCGGAAATGAAGTCGGGAGCCGGGCTGGAAGCAGGTAGGAAGGAGGACGTGAGGCCGTCTGGGGGCGGCGGGAGGACTCGGGCCTCTAACTCCTCCGCCCTCCCCCCTCGGGAGGGTCAGAGAGGTCAGAGCAGCGGGAGGGGGGACCCCACGTCCTGTCTGGTCGCTGCCGGCTGCCGCCGAGCGCCCAGGCTCCCAGGCCCCCCACACATACACCGCGGCCCTTAGACGCCTGTCTCAGGAGCCCCGACGGTGGTGCCAGTGGCCAGCCCTGCTCCCCGACTCTGGCCAGGCTACCCCAACTTCCCCTGCTGCAGCCAGCACCCCTTGCCTGGCACTGCCTGGCAGAGGCCGCCAGGCCTGCCCCCCACGGACCCAGTGCACCCCCCCGCACTGCCCACCCCAAGCAGCTCCGGGATAGGGCCCACATGAGGCCGGCACTCCCCTGAACCCAGTGGAGAACAGTGGGGTCACTGTCCATCACATTCCAGGCTGTGCCCGGTGCGGGGGTGCGCGCCTGTTCTCAGGCCATGCTGCCCACGGGGACCTCACCGCTCCTTCCTCTAGCGTCCTACTGGGGCTCCTCTCTGGGGAGTAATCCAGGGGTGCTCTGTCTGGCGTAGGCTGTCTCCGCCCCCCCCCACACACACACACACATGGGACCTTCTGCTCCATTCTCCAGTCCAGCTGGGGACCAGCAAGGAGAAGGCCTCTGGGCTCCCTGGGCCCAAAGGTGTCCCCAGAGCAGAGGCCCTGACCCTTCAGTTAGACCAGGGACCCTGGGGCCACCCTCCAGCTCTGGGCTCGGCCACACCAGGCCTGAGTCCGCCAAGGAAACGCACGACCAATCTGCGGGAAGGTGGCGTTGAAACCAGCACAGGGGCCAGGAGCACTGCTCAGAGGGGACCCCAGACTCCGGCCCTCTGTGGCCCCAGGAAACTTCCCCCAAATAGCTTCCCAAGAAGCAGTGTTTCCTTTGGGGGGTGCAGACCTGGAGACGAAACTTCTGCTACTCTGAGCGAGTCCCACAGGGGGCGCCATGCTCCCTCCTCCCGCTCCCCACCCCACCCCACCCCTGCAGGGTGCACCCCTCAGGAGCAGGTGCTGCCACCACACACCACCCACAGTGCTCGCTCCATGGGGACACGGGGCTCTACAGAGATGTGGGGACACGGGGTTCTATGGGACAAAAGGTTCCATGGGGACACAGGGGCATAGGGTTCCACAAGGACGTGGGATTTCACGAGGGACACAGTACCGCAGGGACACAGTGCTCCATGGGGACATGTGGGGACCCTTCTTCCTAGCAGCCCTCCAGGGCCTGGCAGCTGGAGGTCGGGGCCAGCGTCTTCATCTCTGGATTTACCGTGTCCCGGGTCGGACCCCAGGGCCTCACCTGTGAGAGAGAAACTTCCTTCTACGGGTCTCGTCCCAGCCCGGCCAGGCTTGCAGAGTAGAACTTTTCTTTCTTTCACTTGATTTTTGGGGTGTGTGTGTGCACGTGTGTGTGTGTGTGTGTGTGTGTGTGTGTGTGCGCGCGCGTGGAGCCGTGGGGGGGACAGGGGCGGGATATTGAGCCACACTTGACACTGCTCAGGGGACCACAGTGGGCCGGGGGTCAGCCATGTGCAAGAGAGCTGTGGTTCACAGCCCCCACGAGAGAGCTGGGCGTGGCGGGTGGGTGTGGACAGGGCCAGGGGATGCTAACCCAGCCCAGAGCTCACAGCAAGGAGCCCACGGCAGGCGGCACTCGCTGAAGTGTGTTTCCCGTCTTCCCGGCCCTTTTTCTTTCTCGGCCGTTTCTCTGTTTCCCTCACTTGTGTCCTCCTGCTGCCCCCGAGTCTCATGCCATCACCAACTGTCACTGTGGTCACCTGTGGCTCCCTGGGGACGTGGCCATCACCCTGCTGCCCTCTTCCTCCACATGGTGAGGGGCATCAGTGCCCAGGTAGAAACTGCCGGCACTGAAGCAAGGCTGGTGCCCGGCTAACCCCAGCACCACCCGTAGGAGGCCCCCCAGTCACCCCGTCTTATGGCTCTGACACAGATGGGTCCAGGCCGATGGAGCCCGTGAGATCGGGGTCCTGGGGTCATATGGGGGAGGGTAAGCGGATCGAGCTGGGACGTCTCTGGAACTCTGTGTCTGCAAGGACCAACGGGAGACCTGGACTCAGCGGCCCAGCGACCCCGGGGCGCCCCGCTCCCCCATCTTTGAGTCTTACTCCCCATGACCAGTGCCAGCCCTGAGGAGCAGCTGCAGAGTTAGGTGTTGGGCTCTGCTTGTTTGAGGGGCACGGCCCTTCCCGTTGGGGGACGAGTCTGGGGAGGAAGCAGCGCTGGGCTCTCCGGAGCACTGGCCGAGGAGGAGGAGGAGGAGGAGCAGGGTTGGGGGGCGGGGTGCGGGTCAGGAGCAGAAATGGGGAGGAAGCCCCCACCCACAGACCCTGAGGCCTGGGCCTGCCACAGCCCCAGCAAACACTGAAGGGGGGCAACCTCCCGCCTGTCGAGCCCCCAAGCCCGTGTCCTCACCCCTCTCTGTGCCCTGGGGAGGGCAGAGCCAACAAGGGAAGCGACTGAGGCCATAGTACAGCAAGGCAGGGCACCTGCCGCGCATGCCAGCGACCCGGGTTCAATGCCCCGCACCACATATGGGCTCTGAGCCCACCAGGAGTGAGATCCCTGAGTGCAGAGTGGGGTGGAATGAGCGAGAGAGAGAGAGAGAGAGAGAGAGAGAGAGAGAGAGAGAGAGAGACTGTTTTCTCCAAGGCCAGCCTGGACCTAGGAGCCACCCCTGCTAGGACATTCCTGGTCAGTGCCCCGGAGGGCCCAGCTGTGTCCAGCCTTGCCTCACCTCCCGTGTTCCTCCCCCTCTGCCCGCCCGCCTCCTCCCTCCGCCAGCCTCCCCCACTTCCTCCGCCCTCCCTGACTCCTGCAGGCCTCTGCCCACACCCCCTCCGCAAGGCGTCTCTGGGGGACAGAGAGGGGGAGTGTGAGGCCCGCAGGGGCTGTGCCCGGGAGCTGGGCCCCGGGCCGGGCTCACCTCTGTCCTCTCCTGCTTCTCTCCCACAGAGTCCGTGCCCATGGCCGTCATCATTGGGGTGGCCGTAGGAGCCGGCGTGGCCTTCCTGGTCCTCATGGCGACCATCGTGGCCTTCTGCTGTGCCCGGTCCCAGAGAAGTACGGGAGGGAGACCCGGGATCTCAGGGAGGGGGACAGAGAGAAAGGCCAGGCTTAGGCTGCCCCGGAGAGCAAGTAAGCAGGAGCGCAGTGAGCGGGGCCTACCGGGCTGGGGGTGGGCCCCGCCTGGACACGCCGGGCCCAGGCCCGGGGAGGCCGCCGGACGGACGTTCGGATGGCGCAGCCGGGGGCCGGGTGGGGGCGGCTGCTGGCGCCTCCCCGTGGGGGCGGAGGGGACACCCGGGGTTGGAGGGCGCAGGCTTCCCAGGGCAGTCAACCCTGGCCCCCTGCCGGTCCCCAGGACCCGAGCTTCCAGACGGGCAGGGTCCCCAGGCCTGTCAGGGTCAGCCACGACGGATGCAGGCGTGGGGGTCGATGGGGACAGTCAGCTGGTGCCCCCGGGTCTCCCTGTGACCCAGGGCAAGGCCTCCGAGGGGGGGGAGCAACCCCCAGGGACACCCTGCCCGGCAGTACCTGGGTTTGCGGGGGGCTGGAACCAGAGACCAAACTCGGGGCCTGGAGCAGGACAGCCCCCAGCTCCGTACTCTGGACCATGCGTCCCCCCCACCTACTCTGCAGAAATGAGAGGGGGGACACTTGGGGGGACCCCTGGCGGTCACAGGACTGAGACTCTGGGTCCACACGGTCTCAGGCAGGGCCTGACTCGCAGGGAAATCCGGGTCTGTCCAAGGGGAGGGGGCGAGCACATGACTGCCAGGGGGAGATGCGAGGGCCCCCTTCAGCATCCGGAGAACCTGGGATCCCCGCGGTGGGAGCTCGTGACAGCCAGGGAGACCCCCAGCGCCCACCACAGCCAGTTCTGTCCGGACACATGCTGCGCTGGCCGGGGTCTGGGAGTCTGGGGAGGTCAGGGCCGGGCAGGGCAGGGAGCGGGATGTGGGGGCGGGGCAGGGGGGTGCCTGGAGTCACAGGCCCCGCGGCTTGGGAGGGGCGAGAACTGAATCTCGCCTCTCCACCTTCCTGTCTCATGTCCAGATCTCAAAGGGGTGGTGTCGGCCAAGAACGACATCCGCGTGGAGATCGTGCACAAGGAGCCCTCGTCCGGGCGGGAGGCGGAAGATCACCCCAGCATCAAGCAGCTGATGGTGAGCTCGGCCTCGGCTCCCAGTGCCCCGCAGACTCCCGGGAGAGACATCCCCACCCCAGAGACGCCTCCTCGCCTGGGTTTCTCCTCGCCGGGGTCCTTGCTGTTCCCCCGAAGCAGCCCCGGCTGTCAAACTTCCGGTCTATAGGGCTGGAGAGACCATCTGGTCTTGCACGCAGGTGACCCGGGTTCCAATCCCAGCACCCCACGTGGTCTCTCAGGCCCCGCCAGGAGTGAGCCCTGAGCACAGCTAGGTGTGACCTAAAGCCAGGAGAAGAAAGACCCAGGGTCCTGGGGTCCAGTGGCGGGGGGGAAGGGGGGGGGAATGACAGGCCTAAATGGTCAGTCCATGTCAGATCTGACGTCATGCACGCATGCCCCTACTGTGATGTTATACCCAGGCCCGGCCCCTGCACCCCCAACCTGGAAGGAAAAACAAAACAAAAACCTGTCTCACTTTGGAGCCCTACCCCACCCCCACCGCCCCACCCCCAGCTGCTCTGGTCCCATGGCACCCACAGGCACCAGCTGCACCAGAAGAAGCGAGCCTTGGGGCTCGAACTCTCTAGTGTCCACGGATGAGGATGATCAGTCAGTAGATGGGCATCCCCTGCGCCTCCGAGTCCTCCAAGCCATGGAGACCCAGCTCCTGGGGTGGGGTCCCCGAGGGCCCCCAGTCCATGCCTGAGGAGTGGGAGCTGACGTCCCATTTAAGGGTCTTCTCTCCAGCTTCCTGCAAGTGCCAGCAGCCCTCCCGGCACCCCCAAAGTCCCTGCGACTCCCGCCTTGGCTCACTCACCCCTCCGGGACTTTGCCCAGGCCCTCCTTATTGTGTGGCCCGAGGTCAGTCGGCCACACTGTCCTCAGGCTCAGCTCACCCGTCCCCTCCTCCTTCATGGCGGTGGCTCTCCCCAAACCCTTGGCAAATTCCTCTCTGACACCCCGTACCCCAGCTCTGATTACAGGGCCCCTCCCTCATTATCCTGAGTTTCTCAGGGGCTGGGTCCACCCCCACTGTCTCTTCCCCTCCCCCACACCCCTTGCCCATCTCCCATGAGGCCCACGTGGAGAACATGACCCAGCCGGCTGGCCGCTGGGGTGCTTCTCTGCACACCAGCCCACCCTCATCCCTGGTGGGATCCAGGGCAACCCCAGATTGGGGACACGGCTGTCCCCACGACCCCCCTCCAGTCCAAACTCAGACCTGGGAGCTGCAGCTAAAGCCCTGCTCCCCCGCCCCCCACCCCAGGCCCCTTCTGAGATGGGCAAGAGGTCAGGGCAAGGAGATCTGGGTCCAGAGAGGGGGGAGAAGCACCAGAAAAATGCAAAGGGGGTTGGGTGTAAGGTCCAAGGAGACATGAAAGTGGGGTGCAGGTGGGCCCCAAGGGAGCAAGGGACAGGAGTGGCGGATGGAGCCTGGGGCCTGCCGCGGGGTCCCTGGTTCTCAGTCCCTCGGAGGAAGGCCACTGCGTCCGTTCCTTTGCCAACTCGGGGTGACCTCAGGGGGAAAAAGATGCTAGAGCGGTAGAGAACAGACCCAGCCCAGAAGCACCCACGTGTGATGGTCTCACTGTGTGTCGGTGTCCACGGTTGACGGGGCCCTACACGGCTTCACCGGGTACCTGCCCAGAGACTCCGCCTGGAAAGAGCGCTGGGCTGAGCTCTTCCTCCTGGTCCATCCCTTGTCCAGGCCCCACTCAGCCCAGCCCCGGCTGGGGAGCTGCTCCGCCAGGACCCCGACCTGAGCCCAGAGTCGGGGGTCTGGGGTGACTCAGGCTCTGGGGCAGCTCCCTGCCAACCTTTCGTTTGGTTCGGGGCCACACCCGGCGATGCTCAGGGCTTACTCAGGGATCGCTCCTGGTGGGCTCCAGGGACAATTCGGGGTGTTGGGAATCGAACATGGGTCAGTCCCTGCAAGGCAAGTGCCCTCCCCGCTGTCCTGTGACCCCAGTAGTTTTCCCTGGCGCTCTGGTGTGAGTGAGGTGGAAAGGCACAGCCGCCCTGGCCCGAGGGAGCAGGCAGTTTCCACGCACCCTCTCCTTCCTCCTGCGTGCTCAGCCAGGGTGCCGGACACCTCCGAGCCGCCACCGGCCTCCCTTGTACCAGGCAGTGATGGAGGACAAGTGCCCGGACGGAACTAGGGCCTCCTGCGTGCAAGACCTGGGCTTGACCACTGAGTTCCTTCCTGCCTGCCCGCCCCCACGCTCCTCCCCGGGCTTTACTCTTGGGGGCTGCAGGAAGCGGTCGGAAGCGACACCTGTCCCCGCCACTGAGCCTCTGTCCTTGATTATAGATGGACCGGGGTGAATTCCAGCAGGACTCGGTCCTGAAGCAGCTGGAGGTCCTCAAGGAGGAGGAGAAAGAGTTTCAGAACCTGAAGGTAAGGCTGGCCAGGGGTGACGGGGAGCAGGGACCGGGGGTGACGGGGCTGGCCTGGGAAGCAGATCCCGACAGAGTAGCACAAAGGGAAGCGACAGGAGGGGGGGACAGGTGTCCACTCCTGGGGGACACCCCAAATCCGCCTGCAAGAGGACCTGCTCTTTGCCTGGCCCCAGGGAGGGGAGAGGGGGCGGGAGAGCCCCTCTGACCCCCACTAAGTCGGGAGCTCCACGTCCCTTACGTCTGCTTATCTGCGGAGGCATAGCCCAGCGGGGACGCCCCCACTGCCAGCCGCCCCTTCCCCAGCGTCCCCAGGGGCTCCCGCTCCCCGTCCCTCCCTGGGGTCCCCTCCCGGCGTCGCGCAGGACTGGCTCAGCCTACACCGCACCTCCTCCCCACGGCTCCCCAGGTGCCCGGTGACGCGGCCCCCTCTCCCCCCGCCCCTCAGGACCCCACCAACGGCTACTACAGCGTGAACACCTTCAAGGAGCACCACTCGACGCCCACCATCTCCCTGCCCAGCTGCCAGCCGGACCTGCGGCCAGCGGGCAAGCAGCGGGTGCCCACGGGCATGTCGTTCACCAACATCTACAGCACCCTGAGCGGCCAGGCCCGCCTCTACGACTACGGGCAGCGCTTCGTGCTGGGCATGGGCAGCTCGTCCATCGAGCTGTGCGAGCGGGAGTTCCAGCGCGGCTCCCTGAGCGACAGCAGCTCCTTCCTGGACACGCAGTGCGACAGCAGCGTCTCAAGCAGCGGCAAGCAGGACGGCTACGTGCAGTTCGACAAGGCCAGCAAGGCGTCCGCCTCGTCCTCGCACCACTCGCAGTCCTCGCAGAACTCCGACCCCAGCCGGCCCCTGCAGCGGCGGATGCAGACTCACGTCTGAGGCCCCCCGCCCGGGCCCCGCCGCCGCCCACCCCCTTCCAGATCAAGCACAATCGCGGTCCAGGGCTGGGGGGCCGCGGGGAGCCGGTGGGCGCGTGTGCGCATTTGCGCGCGCGCGCGCGCGCGCGCGGGGCAGCGGTCAGAGAAGCTGGGACGGGACGTGGACACGCGGCTTCTGGCCCTCCACCCCCCCACCCCGGCCCCCTCCCTGCTCTGCGGGGCTCGGCCCCCCGATCTTGGCCCGGCTCCGAGGTCCTGATCAGCCCGGGAAGAGGGACCGGGGTGATGCTGAAGCGCTTCCTCCGAGGGCCGAGAAGCAGCGACCTTGGCTGGCCACTGACCTTGGCCCCGCCGCTCCCCGCCGCCGCCGCCGCCGCCCCCATCTCGTTTGGTGAATTCGTGTCCCTTTCTGTGCCCTGACTGGACTCGCAGCTGAACTCTGAGGCTGGGGTGTCCCGGGAGGGAGGGGGGAGGGGGGAGCAGGGGAGCCTCCGGCCAGGCTGTGACTGGACACCGGCCCCCTCCCGCTCCTGTTGGTCCTGCTCCCCGACAGCACAATCGTGGTTAATACAAGGCGTGTCCGCGCTTCTCTGGCCCGGCCGGGGTTCTTGAATGGGGAGAGCGCTCACTCAGTGCCCGCTGGGCTCGGGTCTCCTGGGAGGGGGTTGCTGGAAGAGGAGAGGACCCCTGCAAAGACTCCGGGTGCCCGGGCTTGGGGGTTATTCCAGCCTTTCTCCTGGCGCCTTTCTGCGAGGGGGTGCTCCCTGCCTGGGGCGCAGACCGGATGCCCAAGCAGAGCGACCACAGGTGCTAGCTGGGGGCCAGGCTGGAGGTCAGCCGCGTCTCAGGCCCTCCCCTGGCGTCTCTGAGTGTCTGCACTTCATCACCGAGTCTGTGCCTCCTCCCCCGGCAGATTCCTTGGGCCGCCCCAACGCACAGACGCTCCATAAGGCCTTCAGACCACTTCTACTCCCGGGGGAGGGGGGGTCTTTCTGCTTCATGCTGCTTCCTGTTGTTGTAAACTCCCCAGGTCCCTGGCCATCCTCCTTGGCAGGCCCCCAGGCCCAGGGAGTCCACGGGGGTAAGAAATGTAGGTGCAGGGGCTGGAAAAAGGCTCCCTGAGCTGGAGCACAGGCAGGGCGCCTGGTTTCGATCCTGGGTCCCTCCCGTCAGGAGTGGCCCCAAGCCCCTCAAAACAGAAAAACAAATGTAGGTGCACCCAGTAACCCCACAATCCCTGCTCCTGGGAGCCGTCCCGAGGGTCATCTTGATGGCCACTGAATTCCCATGTTCGCCTGCAGCCGTCCAGGAAGGCCCCCAGCCCGGATACAAGGGAGCAGGTCGCTCCAGTCACTCGCCTGGTCTTGCCTCGCTGGCGAAAGGGTGGGAAACCCTCCGGTCACCCTTGCCCCTGGCCACCCCCCACGATACACTGCAGATGGCAGGGGGTGTCTTGTCCTCCCCAGAGGGAGAGGGGGAGTGTGGAGCTCCTGACCCTGCCAGGAACTGCCCAAGACAAACACCGGCGGTGTAGGGGTTGCACAGGGAGGCCTCGGCCATGCAGTGCCCACCGGAGCACTCTCAGGGGGCACAGAGCTTGGGGAAGGCCATGGTGAGAGAGAAGGATGCCGAGGGGGGCCGGGGGGGGATATATTGGAACCTCAGGAGGAAGCTGTGTCCGGCCCCAGGGACAAGGACTGGGGGTCCTGGGAAGCTGGGAGGATGGTGGGCTGGACAGGCAGCTCCGTGGGCTCAGCACATGCTTTGGATGCTGGAGACCCTGGTTTCCATCCCCAGCACTGCAGAGACTCCAGAGCACCACCCACCAGAGCGAACATAGAGCTGACACTAGCCCCCAGCACTACCAGGTGTGACACCCCCCCACCCCCCGCTCCCATCCTCCCCAAATCAAAACCCACCAAAATAAGTGAATAAAAATCAGAAGAAAAAAGGTGGGAAGCCTGAATCCCTGGAGGCGATTTCGAATGAGCCAACGAGAGCATTTGGTCCCTGCACAGTGATTTCAACACCCCATCACGTGTGCATCCCCGTGCACAGGTCAGGGGGCCAAGACACACCCAAGCACACCCAGGACCACGGAGCTGGCAAGTAGCCAACAGGAGACCATGGGTTTTGCCATCGGATGTGTCCAACCCTCAGCGCTCACCCAAGGCCACATTCCTCAGGGGCGGTGATGGGAACGGGGTGGGGGGGGGGGGGTGGCCAAAGTGCCCGCTTGACGTCCCCAAGTCCCGAAGTGACCTGAGAAAACCATAAATTCCCAGGGCCACAAAAGCAATTCGGCGCCTACTGGCACCCCCACCTCACCCCAAGGCCAGGCCCCAGTGTTGCGAGAGTTTTCTAATCCTTCCTTGGCTGGGAGCCCAGGAGAGCAGCCCGCCCGCACGGCGGAGTCTACTTCCCAGGCCCACTATCGGTCTGGAGAGGCCAGGGTGATTTCCACCAGCCCTTGGCTTTCCGGAAGAGGAAGTGCTCCCCAGGAGCGCGGAGAGCCCCCTCCAATCTGCCCGATGCAGGCTGTTGAAACCCAGGGCCCTGGAGCAATTGCTTCCTTCCGGAGTGGAAGATGGGGGGGCAAGGGGTGTGACTGCAAACAAACACAGTCCTTGGGAGATTTCTCAGATCCGGAGAGAGGAGCCAGCAGAATTCTGAAGCTCACATCCCACAGGGGCAGCCCAGAGCACTAAGGAATTGGGGTTGGGGGTTCGGAACTGCCATCAAGAGGGTCATCCCCTCCCCACAGGATCCTTTAGCTTTTCCCAGGCTTTGTGTCTGGCACCAGAAAAAAAAAATTAAAAATGGAAAGACCCGGGGGCATCCTGCAAGTCGCTTCTCTAGGAGGCTTCCCTTGGAAATAAACTTTATTAAAATAAAAACCTAAATATTTCAATAAAAATGATCTTGATTTGCATAGAGCCTTTTTCTGTGTCTGCAGAGAGAAACATAAACCCAAGACCTCACAATGGGCTCTTGGCTCTCACTTCTCCTTTGCAATGCCTCTTCCTGGTGGTTTGAGGAGCGCTAACCACTGCCACCATCTTTGGGAGGTGCAGAGGAGAGCGCTCCCTTCAGGGTCACTACTCATTTCCAGGAAGGCCCCAGCGCCTTCTACGACGCCCTGCTCCCGTCTTCCTGACCATCACGGGGGAAATGAGGCTAGCTCTGACTTCCTTTAATAAAGAAATTGGCCTGGAGGGGCCGGAGACATAGTCCAGGGGTTACAGGGCTTGCCTTGCATCCCAACCACCCTGGTTCAAATCCTAAGCATCTCCTTCGGATCACTCCTGAGTACAGAGCCAGGAATAGCCCCCGAGTATTGCTATGTACACACACACACACACGCACACACACACACACGCACACACACACACACGCACACACACACACACACAGAGAACTGGCCTAAGAGTACAGGAAGGTCCTAGACTTTTGTGCTGTCCATCCTGGTTTGGCCCTGACCACCACCACGAAGGGTCACTCCTGAGCACAGAGCTTGACTTCGCCCTTGAGTATTGCGGTGTGTACAGGTGTACAGAAGATAAGGGGCTTGTGTTTCATGCAAGTACCACTAGGGGACACTCCCGAGCACAGAGCTAGGAGTAGCCTGTGAGTATTGCCAAGTGTGATGGTACAGGAGGCAGAGTGTTTGCGTTTCATGCAGCCACCACTAGGGGACACTCCCGAGCACAGCTCCCCAGTACTGCCAAGTATGTTACAGGAGGTACAGGGCTTGCCTTTCTGCAACCACCACTAGGGGTCACTGCTGAGCACAGAGCCAGGAATAGCCCCTGTACAAGACCTGGTGTCACTTCAAAGCCCCCCCAGAAGGTAGAAAGATAAAGGAACGTTTTCCTGGATAGATACATCTTTGCTCTGGGGGAGGGGAGCTGCCTTTCTTTACCTCTCTACCTGCCGTTCTTCCTGGACCCAGCTCCCCTCCTCTCCAGACTTCCATTACCAAAGACGCCTGCCCCAGCCATCTCCGTGAGGAGGGGGACTTGGGGACGGTGTCAGGGTCAAACAGCTCAGTGGTGGAGCACACACGTGAGGCCCTAGGCTCAGTCTGCCCTACTGCAAAAACACTGTCCACTGTCCTCCCGTTGTTCATCGATTTGCTCGAGCGGGCCCAGTAACATCTCCATTGTGAGACTTCTTGCTACTGTGTTTGGCGTATTGAATACTCTCCGTAGCTTGCCAGGCTCTCCAAGAGGGGCAGAGGAATCGAACTTGGCTCGGTCAGGCTGGCTGCGCGCAAGGCAAACGCCCTACCGCTGTGCTATCACTCCAGCCCACTGCAAAAACAATTCAATTTTTTTTAATACAAAATTAAAGATCTTTGGGGGCTGAGGCAGTAGCTCAAAGGGCCAGAACACTTGCCTGGCATGTGGGAGACCTCCAAGATCCATTCCCACACTACCACCAGGTGTGGCCCTGGTCACCGCCAGCACCTCTGGGTCTGACCACCGAGTCTTCAGGCCCAGCAGCCACTGACCCGCTGAACACCTCTTGGAAAACCCCTTCTCCCTGAATCGAGTAAAATTAAAGATTTGGGGGACATAAACCACTCACAAGATCCCTTGCAGAATTGTGCTCTCAAACCTTATGTCCTGCAGTCTGCCCCTCTGTGTCCTCAGGGCCCCAGAGCCCCACTCTGGGACAGCACAGTTACCCTCCAGCCCACTCCAAACACAGGGTAGGGAATCCTCCAAGCCTGGGCCCAATGCCTTCTTCTCGAGCGGCCCTCCCGTTGATCATCGATTTGCTCGAGCGGGCCCAGTAACGTCTCCATTGGAGACTTTGTTGTTACTGTGTCTGGCATATCGAATACATCACGAGGAGCTTGCTGGGCTCTGCCATGCGGGCGAGATACTCTCGGTAGCTTGCCGGGCTCTCCGAGAGGGGCAGAGGAATCGAACTCGGGTTGGCCATGTTGGCTGCGTGCAAGGCAAACGCCCTACCACTGTGCTATCACTCCAGCCC